CGTATCGCACGCAACGTGCGCAGATCCATATCCAGTTCTATGCCCTGCGAGAACGCCGTGATGAACCTGCCCCAAAACACACACACCCCGCCACACTTTACTACTTACTACTCTATTACACTAATACTCAGGCTACTTAAGTACTTAGGCTACGTCACTAATTTAGGTGAGAGATAGAGACAGAGATATAAAGAAATAGACAGATAGACAGAAAGACAAAGAATGATAGAGAGATAGTGAGAGTGACAGAGAGAATGACAGAAAGAATGTGAGATAGACAGATACAATTAACTAGCCATTTCTAATCCTAATCCTTCATTTTGGAAATATTCATGATTTCAAATATTATCTAGATTTAAAGGGAAAACTAAATATCACCGATAGAATTCAGAATTTTTGGAACGGGTCAGCAACTTTAGGTATTTAGGATCGATCATAAACCAAGAACTTAAGAAAAGAATCAATTTAGACAATGTCAGCTTGCGGTTGATATCTAGGCGCTTAAAAATCAGGATATACAGGACAATCATCCTACTGGTAGTCCTTTATGGTACCGAAATGTGGTCACGAAAATGAAGGTTTCCGAAAATAAAGTTGTTCGGTGCCAAACACGATAAGGAAACGGGCGAATGGAGAAAACCCCATAACGTAGAAGTTTACCGACTGTACAACAAAAACGGACATCATCAACGTCGTAAAATCACGCTGATTAAGATGGGCAGGTCACGTGGCGCGCATCGGGGATGAATCGAACGGCGCGTAAAATACTGATCGGTATACCAACGGGAAAAGACCACTGGGTAGACCGAGACGTAGATGGAAGAACAATATTGTTTCGGGATCTTAAAAAAGTAGGCTACGAATACCGCGAATGGAGGGGTCGGCCCTCAGGGACGAGATTACTGGAAGAAATTTCCTTCCGAAATCGGGCGAAAATTCTCCTGAAGGAGGAAAAATAAATACGGAATCATTTTCAATAATGAACACACTGTTAGTAGTTGTATAGAAAAAAGAAAGAGAGAGAAGGATGTAAGCGATTAGATTCGATTAGATTTGAACTCGATTTTGATTTCATTTGAATATGCAAACTCGTCGTTTTATTCGTTCCTTATTCTTTTATAGGAAGTAGATAATATATGCAATTTTCACGAGAATAAAAGAATGACATCAAGAGAGAATAAGTGAGGTGAGGGAGAGAGACATTTAAAGACAGATAGAAAAAGACAGAAAAAAGTGAGAAAGAAATATAAAGAGATTTGAAAGTTTGATATAAAATACGCGCAAGTAATACACACATAGATAAAAAAGATAGAATTGAAGGAAGGATGTGGCGGGTTCGAAGACTTCGAAGAATCTCCAATTGTAAGCTGCTTCGACTTTATCGAATTAGTGCATCTTAAGATTAAGTCCTTCGTGAACGGGGTGGCTGCCTTGAGATAACTCTGACGGAAACTTGTTAATGGAAGCACGATGGAATCGAAAAAGTATCTACGGTATTACGATTAAAGGTGAGAAAGAGGTGGTAAGAAAAATAGCAAGAAAGAGACACAGAAAGAGATAGAAAGAGTGAGAAATAGCGTGAAACAGAGAATAATAAGTGATAGGTTTAGAAAAAATGGCAAGAGGAAATTAATGAACTATGTAACAACGACGCTGGGGGAAAGAACATCGTTATCGTAGGAAACACTAAAAACAATTATACACAAGATGGGTCTAACGATAACAAATGAGAGAAATATATTATTTAATAAAAGGGGATCATAATATATGAGGGTTACTGGGTATAAGATTATTCTTTTTTCTCTCTAGGGAACATTTATTCGGGTTTTACACCTAAAGTGGACTTAAGAGGGATGTAATAATAATAATAATCGTGGATCTTATTTCTTTTTCTTGTTTTTTTTTTTTTTTTTTTTTTTCTTAAAAAAAGGATATGTTATTTAGGTTATTTAGCAACTATCTAGTCTCTAAACGAGGTATTTTTTTTTTTTTCAAAAACACTAACGATAATATTCTAAAAACTATGAAGAGAATCATTTTGGTGAGAGACGCATCGGACAAGTCGAAGATAGCGATAGCATAATACCTACTATATATATATATGTATATCCAAATGATTAATCTCCTACTTATTTATTTTATTGTTCTCCTCGGCTTTGTCCATCACGATGTCGTCGACCTTCTCGCGATCCGCTTTTTTCTAACCCTCCACGTYTCCACTCTCAAAAAAAAAAAACCCCTCAAAAATGAATAATAATGTATTTACTTACAATTGAAAATAAAACTAAAAAAAAAAAAAAAGGAATTAAACAATTTGCAAGCAGATACATTTTTGTTTTAAATCAACTCTAAAACGGGCCCATTTACTATTCATTATTATTTTCATTGTAATAGTCGAGAAAGAGAAAAAACGTTTCAGGTGTTTGGGATCACCGATCGCGAGAAAAGTGAACGATGGCGATCCATCTAGAGGGATGAATCCGAATATGAATCGCAAATTCGCACGATACGTCCAATTCTATATATATATATTGATATATATATATAGTTTCTACGTGAAGGTACTAGCGATGATGCATTAACCTACACGGAGAATCAAACTCCGAGAGCTTTGCACTCTTTTCTTCTTCTTTTTCTTCTTTTTCTTCTTCTTCTTCTTCTTCTTCTTCCATTTCCATTTCTTCTTTTTTTTTCCTTCTTCATCTTCTTCATTTTCTTCCCTTGCCTTTGATAGTTTTTTCTAGAAATGTTTTTCTTCTGCTTTTTATTTTTTATTTTTCTTTCCTTCTTTTTATTTTTTTCTATTTTTTTTTTTTTTCTATGGTATCAAATACCAATACCTATAACTACGTTGGTTATTACGATACATTATATTAAATAACTTTTGGAATATTTATAAATAATCTTTCGTTCTTTCTTTCTTTCTTTCTTTCTTTCTTTCTTCCGTTCGTTCTTTCGCTCGTTCGCTCGCTCGCTCGTATCTATCTAAAGATTCATTTTCAAAAGACTAAAAAATTTGTAAACAAATACTACGCTGAATTCTATGATAATTGAATATAAATATCATTGATTAAAAAAATAACAAATAAGTGTTAAACTGATTGATATGTCGTGTATTTTTTTTTTTTAATTAAAACATTATTATTATGATTATTATTATTATTATTATTATTATTATTATTATTATTAATTTTATTTTTTTTCTTAATGATTATTTATCAAGGTGGATCCTCTGAAAAATATCCGCAACTCTTGAACTCTTGTGTCTCTAAAGTTGTTCATCACCACTCTCTAGCAAACTCGAACACGTTACGGCTCTAGAACACGTACCTATTTACCAATGTATAGTCAACTCTATTATTCAATAGCTTTGGCTAAGGATAGAGACTGCTAAATATAAACGCGACTTCGGGCCAATGTATCTATTTCTATATATATATATATATATATGTGTGTGTGTGCATGTTTTCTTGTGCGTAACAATGGCCGTTTACATGACAAATATTTTTTTTTTTTTCAAACATATTCAAAGTTTATTAAATACTCACACACGAAAAATTCATTACTATGATTTTACTTTGTGTATGTGTGAATATGTGTTTTAATAATAATTATAATAATAATAACAACAACAACAATCCGCCGACCGATCTATCATACGATCGTGAATTGAATTAATTTGTTTGTTTGTTGTTATTGTTGTTTTCTAATAAAAAAAAAAAAAAAGAAATAAAAAAAGAAGAAGAAGAATGAAATAAAAGACACAATGGGTTTAAATTCACACGCACTACCATAGAAATATTTACCATGAAAAATAATCGCCCACGTTTGACCCCGTGCGATAATATTATCTACGTGTGCGTTATAATAATATAATACTGTGTTAACACATTAAAAAGTAGCATCATCATCATAATCATAATAATAATCATCATCATCATCATCATTATCATATCATATCATCAATCTCTAGCAAATATAAGATCTCAGTCACTATGTTCTCTACCCTATGTATAATAAATACGTATATATTTAATGTGACAAGAAAGAAAAACGAATAATAACAAAAAAAAATATGTAATTCAATCAAAATAAAATTAAAAAGTGAACATAATGAAAGACACTCTGTGAACTATCATTGTTCTCTAAAAATATTCCATCAACGATACACAATTATGACGTCAGTCTTGAATAAAGACGCAGCCCAGACGCAAACCATCAGTCCAAATAAATCAATAAATTTCAATCTATTGCACATTAATGTAAAACAAAATTACTAAGAAGGAAAAAAAAAAGAAGAAGAAGAAGAAGAACGGACAAAAAAAAAATAAATACGAGATAAAAGTGAAAGGTCCTAGAAAATACGAAAGAGTGTTTTTGCATCCTTTTAATATATCGTTAATGTTTTTGATATATCATGTGAGTGAGTTAGCGTTCGTTGTTGTTCTTGTGTATATTCGTGTTTTTTTTTTTTTTTCTAGTGCGATGAATAATAAGAGATAGATAGAAATAGAGAGAGAGAGAGAGAGAGAGAGAGAGAGAGAGAGAGAAAGAAAGAGAGAAAGAGAGAGATAGAGAAAGAGAGATAGAGAGAGAGATAGAAGGAAATGCGAGTAGATATAAAAATAAATGATATAGAATATATATATATAGCAAATAACTGATAGAGTATTTCTAATATCTAATAATTCATTAGTATCCTAATACGTATGTATGTGTATATACAGACTTGGTTACTGAAAAATACACTTTGACACAGATTCGACAAAAAATACCTATTACATTATTTAATATAATACCTAAGTATCTTCGATCAACTCTTATCTATTAGCTTTGATCAACTGTTCTAAGACACCCATAGCCGCTAAATAGTAATTAGTAAAACAGAGAGATGTGTAATTACGCAAACGGGAACCAAGGGGAATTAACTAAAGCACAAATCAAATGTTTAAAAGTATTAGTTTAGCTTGCGTTAGATATCTTCTGCTTGCACCTATCAGAAAACGTCGAATCAGTAATTCAAAGATAAGCAATAAAACTGAGAAACATAATCATAATATACAGGGTGATTCTTGTAACGAGAACGGTTTATAACTTTTTTTTAAGTAACAATAGAAAAAAATCATAAAGGTAAAAGTTATACGGCACAACAAATGTCAACTTTCTATGACCTTACTTTCTTTGAAAATCCATCGATGCACCCGTTAAATGCAGTTGCACTTTTTTTTTTTAAAGGAACTTTATATTTTTTTTTTTTATACCATTTGATTCCTTTTTTTATTCTGCGTAAAAAAGTATAAAGTGAAGGTCATTGAAATGTCAATAGTTTACGAGATATTTGAAGTTTTATATTAGTAATGTATTTTATTACATTGATTTGAATTGATATTGAAACAATACATTGTTATAGGCTCCTTTAAATCATCGACTGATATAAAAGGACGTGAATACACATCCATATCGTTATTTGATAGGACACACTTTACATGTGGGAGATGATATTAGAAGAATGCGTTTTTGTCAATTTTTTCTTAGACAAGTACAACGAAGGGAAAATTTAGCAGAAAGAATTTTATGGACGCAAGATGAATGCACTTTTACGAATAATGGAATGTTCAATAGACGCAATGAACATACATGGTCTAAAGGAGTGTATAACAATGTATTGTTCCAATATCAATTAAAAAATATAATGAAAATTGTAAAAAAGCGCATTAGAAAATGTTTAGAATGCAATGGAGGAGCATTCGAACACTTATTGTAATAAAATACATTGTTGATATAAACAAATTATCAAATATCTCGTAAACTATTGACATTTCGATGACCTTCACTTAATACTTTTTAACGCAGAATAAAAAAAGGAATCGAATAGTGTAAAAAAAATATAAACTTCTATTTAAAAAAAAAAGTGCAACTGCATCTAGCGGGTGCATCGATGCATTGTCACAAAAAGTAAGGTCATAGAAAGTAGACATTTGTTGTGCCATATAACTTTTTCCTTTATGATTTTTTTCTATTGTTACTTAAAAAAAAGTTATTACCCGTCCTCGTTACAAGAATCACTCTGGGTGTATATATATATATATATATATTGTATATGTATTATGTAGTTAACCAGTTAACTGTGATTGACAAGTATACTCGTCATGGAGTAGTGAAAAGATTTTGTTTATTGACGAGTATACTCGTCGTAAGTATAAAGTAGTGACCATTGAATATTTAAATTGTAATTTAGAAAAAAAAAAACATATTCTCAAATGTCATGTCGAAATAAAACAAATAAATAACAAATATAAATAATTTGACATGAACTCATGCGTCCCCGTGTGCACAGGCTGAAACAGCTTATCAGTTCGCATAAGAAATTTATTTATGTGTGATGATAATGTTTTTTAGATGTTAGCTTAAAAGAGGTAAAGACAAAAGTCAGAAAGTTGATTTATAATAGGGTTCCTTCAGATATGGGAGAAATGCGTGACGCCGACCAGGCGCTGAGCCTATTGATAGCTGCTGGCCCGAAGCTACCTAGCTATCGAGTGGTGTAAATGCCAATTATTTGATGTTAGAACCATGTGCTGACATTAGAGTAATGCCCCAATACCGTGCAGCCTAAAGAACATTTATTTTATTGGGGTGGGAAAGGCTAGGATGCTTTCTGGTAAGAGGACTGTGATCAACCCTACAGCACCTACTCCAGAACTTTCTCAGTGTTAAGACAGGTAGAAAATATTTTGTCAGTAAGGAAGGAAGTAGATCAGTGTTTGTTTATATTTCTCCATTTCTTAGACATTATTTGTCTAAATGCATTTATATTATATAAAAAAAATAATGGAACATTATCCCGAATGAACTTTTTGCTAGAATTTATTGAAGACATTTTTGCGACGTATCCAATTCTAAGAGAAAAACCGACACAAACTCGGCCATTTAAACCTAATGTAAGCCAATTAGGCGGGAATCATGTTCCGGATTATATACCAGGAACTTTGAAAACAAACAACTCTACGGGAAGGTGTTCACACTGCTATAAACGTAAGATTAGGAATGAATCGCGTTAGTGGTGTTCCATTTGTAAAGTCCCATTGTGTATTGTACCCTGTTTCGCTGAACACCACTCCACAGTAGGAATTTAAATTCTTGTTTTTATATGTATAATATTTAATTTTGATTGCGTTTTTAATTTAATATGTTTATGTTAACCGAATAAGTAAATATTAGTAATAAAAATGTCAATTTTAGTATTTAATTAGAGTATACTCGTCATGTTTCGATTGTAGCGACACCAAACGGTTCGCGCTCTCGAAGGAGGGCGCCACAGTTAACTGGTTAATATATATATATATACATATATATATGTATGTATGTATGTATGTAGAATATAGGGTAGAAACTATCGTATAAGTATAATAATAATAATAATAATAATAATTGAAATAATAATAATGATAATAATAATAATAATTAAAATAATAATGATAATAATAATAATATTATAGTAATAATAATAATAATAATAATAATAATAATAATAATTGAAATAATAATAATGATAATAATAATAATAATTATAATAATAATAATAATAATAATAATAATAATAATAGTAATAATAAGGAACGTTAAATATAAAATGTTAAAAGCTAATCAGACTATAAAACGTACACAAACGCAAATGCCATGAACAAAGGGGTGGGGGGTTAGTATATAATAATAATCTGCTGCTTTCACTGTATTCTTGTACTGTTTTGCTTTGTTATATCTGCTTTTTCACAGAATTGTGACTGACTCACTTGGAATTTTCGAAACCAGCTTTAGCGGTCTGAGGACCCTGAAGGAACGTAGCATACGCAGGTCGACGTCCACGTTAGTTTCGGCGAACACGGTCATCGACCTAATCCAAGGATCACTCTAGAATCTATCTGTCCAATCGGACAAACCGTATCGGCTTGGAGATGTACGAGGAAAGAAGTTTCTTCAAATAACGAAACTTTTTCTCTTTCTATATATATATAGATATAGGTAATATCTTTATAAAACTTTATCTTTGAAACTTCTTTCCTCGGGATCAGATATCCTAACGTTAAAAAGGTTGTTACGTGTAAAGTCAACGTATATATAGAATATAGAAATATCTGTATAGGAATCAGCCTCTTATCGCGATTTTAAATGACCACGGTAAAGTGCATATTCCTCTCTATCGTCTTCTCTTCTCGTAGTGTCCGCCTAACTCAAACTTTTCATGAGTTTTCATAACATTTCTTCAAATATAATGTAAATAAATGCGATTTCAAAATAAAAAAGAGAGAGATAATGAATAATTGTTTTGGACGAAGAGATGAGAAGAAAAATAGAGAGAGAGAAAGAGAGAGAGAGAGTTAGATAGAGAGAGAAAAAGAGAGAGAGAGAAAGAGAGAGAGAGAGATAGAAAGAGAGACAGATAGACAGAGTATTATACAAATATATATAAGTACATATATATAAATGTATATGCATGGGTAAAGAAAGAAATAGAATTAATGAAATAAATGATTGGAAACGTGAAACGAGATGATAATATTAATAATAACGATTAAGGAAAAGTAAGGAAAGAAAAAAAAACATATATATATATACATATAAAAAGAATAAAGAGAATAATAAAAATATATATATATATAAATATATATGTGTGTTTTCGTTGAAGATTAGACGATCTCCTCACCCGGTCACCACGACGAAGAAGTCCATGATGTTCCAGATGTTTCTAAGGTAGGAGCCGCGGTGGAGGACAAAGCCAAGGGCGAGGATCTTGAGGCTCGCCTCGACGCAGAAAATCCCGAGGAAATAGATCTCCGTAGCCTCGAGTTTCTGTGCGAGTATGGTCTTGTCTTGTTTCGGCAAGTGCTCCTCGAGGGCGAGGACCACGCAATTGGCGATGATGGTCAGCAGGACGGCGTACTCGAAGGGCGGCCACTCGATGATGAAGCGGGTGTGCTTCCTTATACAGTTATCCTCCGAAAGGATGAACAGCGAGGTCGTGCCCTTAGATTTGGGCTGTGCTCCCCCGCCTCCACCCGCCCCTCCGCCCTGATCCCGACCTGGCGCCATATCCACCGAACCAATTACCTGCCAAACAAATTCACCCACCTTTCTATTTCTATTTCTTCATGTTGATCGGAGACACTTGCCTCTTACCTCCCCTCCAAAGCTAGTCCAGTCACCGCGACCAGTCAGTCCGGCCAACCTCTGCCTTCTCCTGTACTGACTCGCGTATCCAGGATCCCTTTGTGCCGCCTCTTGCGCTGCTGCCAACCTGATCATCAAACAAAATATCATAATCGTTAATTAACTTTCATCGATATATCCTATTACCATATATAATACATGCATTATATACTGTTATATACTCCAATAAACTCCCCTCACCCTCCCTATTATCCTACTCATCCATACGGTGGTTATCGAGATTATTCGAGAAAGTATATTCGTGTTATTTTTTTACAATATCCACCAAATGGTATCTAGATAAAATACGTAATTGTGTTTATCGATAAAACGATACATATCATCATCATCATCCCATGAACTATCTTAATATCAATATATTCCAGTTATACCGATGTTTCTATCACGGTTAACTATTATATATATATATATATATATACGTATATATATATATGTCGCGAAAGAGCTCGTTAATGGCCGACAAAGTCGTATTATGTGGCACGTAGCTAATTAATTGCATTAACAGAGACTTTTGCGAATGAAGGTCTTTTGTGCGTTGCTTTTGCTTTGCAGGCAAAAGTAAGTGTACTCGATAATGCAATAAACTCGCGACAAGAATCTTCATACGACACATACTTCCATTTACGTACACTTAGTCAGTCTTCCCTTTTCATTTTTCTATCCTTTCATCTACTTTATTCAACGAATATTATTAACGATGAATAAATAAAATAATGTTAAATTCGTATATAAAAAAAAAAAAAAGAAATAACAAAACTTTGATTACTATTTTATTCTTATATATATATAATATATGTATAATTCTTGAAGTATAATGAAAATCGTTTAAAGAATAAAAAATCGTGTATGTGGAACGTAACCTCGGATATAAGAAATAGCTTGACTACTATCGTTCGTCAAACTCATAAAATTCAGTGAAGCGGTAAGCGTTTTCTCGAACGACGACAAGTGGACTCTCTAACAGCGACGGAAAGTTTGTTTAGCCGCATTGATGATGCACAACGCTAGAAAACGTTCGGGACTGGCATGTCGCCGAAGTTTTTCAGTATCCGCAGTGGCCTCAACGCGTAACTTGGCATACATTGTTTCGAGAAATTCACATACACATATATTATTCTCGAACAACCATTTAACGTTGAGATTCGATAAATGTTAAACACTAATGTAAGACTTTTAACGTTAATATCGTTGTAGAGAATATCACTTTCCGTATTATCATAACTATATAATGTGCCAAATGGATATCTAATAAATCAACTCGTACTTGGACTTAATATAAGGAAGGAGGTGATTGGGTGGGGAAGATTGAGGGTGGAGAAAGGGAAAACAAGAAAAAAACGAAAATTTAATTAACTTTTACGAAGTCGAAAGTATATTCTTTCGACGCTGATTGGTCACGACAGCAACAGGTGCAACGGCAAGTGTGGATCGCAACACGTAAGAAATATAGCACTCTTTCCACGTTGCACTTTATATGCAACGCTGCATGCCAGTTTTGTATTCGTAATACCCACCTAATCACCCTTAACCTATGTATTACACACATATACAAACACAAACACACTTATGTATACAATAACACGTGCACTTTTCGCACTATTTTTCAAGTAACGATACTAACACATTTACTATTAATATTTTGTAGAAAAAAAAATGTTCCCGTTTCAACATAATATTCTAAAGACGTATCACGATAGTATAGAAAAGAGAAGGAAGGAAGATTATACCGAAGAAGATTGATAATGATTTATGCAGTCAGTTCATGTAAGCTTTTTATCAAACGACCAACCCCGTTGGAGTAATGGCGAGAAGAGAGAATCGTGCCAAATCGCCATGTTGCCTAGCGCGTTTGTGTTTTTTATCAATGGTAATTAATACCATACATTTCTCCCTGGTGCCTTTCAACCACCCAATCCCACCCTCGTCGTTTACCCCTTGCCGTTTGTTTCTACCCTACTTTTTCATTCTGTTGAAATAACCAATGCTGCTGCTGCTGCTGCTACTGTTGGTCTGCTTCCTGACGTTGAATATTCACAATTGAATTTTCTATCTAGTCGAAACGTCAAGCGCAAGGTTTTGATCGTGCGAGAAAGAGCGCAAATAAAAGAGAAAGAGAAAGAGAGAGAGAGAGAGAGAGAGAGAGAGACAGAACAAAAAATGTATATGAAAAGAAACGATTCGTCTGAAGATAGTCGAAACGATTCTTTTGAAATAATTTTTCATTTGTATATAGCAAATAATACTGAAGGAGTTTATAAAGTAGGATGCTTTTCAAAGTAAAGAAGAGAATTCTTCAATGACAACGAAATGACTGCTCGGTATGCGCTTTTACGCTACTGTCCTCCCTTAAAACGAGGATTGAATTTTTGCCAAACCGATGTTTCCTAATTCTTCATTTCTTCTCTCTCTCTCTCCCTCTCTCTTCCCTTTTTCCTGAAAAAGGAAGTAATGAGTACAACTAACGATTGGATAAAAATAAAAATACAAAAATAATGAACTGTTTATTTTTTGACGACAGTTGTTGATGTTGTTACGGTCAACAAAAACAACAATAATAGAAAAAATATTACAATGGACATAGGCAATTTGTAAAATAAATGTTTGAAATTTTCGACGAAGCGCATGGGAAACGACAACTGATAGAAAATCTATACTAACCCACGGCGTTTCTCATTAGGTTAATTACTACGCCATTTTAAGTGCGAGAGCGCGTGCACGCGACGACGTACTATCGTAAATACGTACTATACTTAATATATATACGTATATACGAAGGAGATTTATCAAACGAACTTTTTACAATGATGTATATTAAAATACACAATATATTTATAATAATATATTTACCCCGTTAATTACAATAGTGGTTTATAAATCAACTTAATTTTTTTTATAATATCAAAATAATTTTAATATAAAATAAATCATAATATTCATTTCTGTGTTATCGTTTGATTTTGATTCCACTTTCATAATTACCGGCACAACATAAGCATTAAATATATATCTGTATATTTATATGCGTATATATTTTCACATACAATAGACATTGATTAACAGTAGTGATCGATGAGGATACTCCTCAAATACTTGAGTTTCAACTAGTCATCTTGCCAAAAATCAGCTAAAAGCACGGTGCGAGACTATCGTTTACGGCGCCCGTCGGTCCAACCCCATTCGAGCAAGATAGCAAGTAGGCAAGCAAGCAAGCTTTCGAGACAACGTCGACAACGACAACGACGACGACGACAACGACGACGACGACGACGAGGACGAGGACAACGACGGGGGTGGCGTCGAGTCATTGCGGAGGATCGTAAGGACGCGGTCGTGGTAAATGGTAAGAGGAGGAGAGAAGGGAGTCCGGTGACGTCATGTCAGCGCCATTTTGCCGGGTGACGTCAACACGACGACGACTGCTACGTAACGCTAGCCTTGCCTTGCCTCACCTTGTCTCTCTCCCTCTCTCTATTGCGCGTACGTATGCGTGTAAACGTGTATGCGAGCAATTTCTCGCAACTGGTGCGCGCGCACATAACCATATACACGAAAGCGTACTACTCACACATATACTCTATATAATACCACAGGAAACATTGAAGTTCGACCAATGCTAGCTCGTGCGTGTACGCACGAAACCCGCAGAATATGTCGGTATGTACATACATATATATGTAATATATACTTTACTTCCTAAGTATATAGGTGTACATGTATATGTAACTATAGTATACGTATGTATACATAGGATTTTGTACAAACGTAGGCGTATTCTATGGATACGTGAGCGTTAGCAGCGTCTCTCCTCTAATCGTGGATAGTTATATATATTTAGATCATAGTATACACGTGTGTGTGTGTGTGTGTGTGTATGATAAGTAAATACGTAGTTTATGATTGGACCAACGAATAAATATATATTTGCTTCTTCTTCTTCTTCTTTTTCTTCTTTTGGAATACTCACGATAAGAGTATTGCTACGATCATCCTCTTCAATGCGATTTAAGATTTAAAAAGATTCCTAGCATTTTCTCGCGTCACAGAAAAAGAGAGAGAGAGAAAGAGAGATAGAGAAAAGGGATGAAGGGAAGGTACCGTGCAAGTTAAAGAGATCGTTCAAAATGCAAGTGGGACGTGCTCGACGAGATCGCAAGCTCGGCAATAAATTAGCTATTAAGAGGAACTAACGGTATAGCATTAGGCATCGATAGGAAGAGAAGAATCTAAAGACGTTTTAGAACTTGTATTCAGTTTAACGATATGTAAAGGCATTCCCTAAACAATCTTTTTTTTTTCTTTTTTCATTGTCTTCTTCTGTCTTTCATTAAAAAAAGAAATAAAATCAATATACCTTAGAAATTGTTATTGACAGAGTTATAACAGAGAAAGAGAGAGAGATCACATTATGTATGTTAGCATAACAGCTGCTAGTCTCGGGGTAGGAAAACTAGTTATTTAGTGGTCCCAGTCAGACACAGTGCGTCCTCAGGTTGCGGATAGAGGAAGGGCCTCTTTGTCTCAGATAGGGACAGAGATTAGCTATGAATAAATTGAATAAGCAGTCGTAGACAGCCAATTGGAGTTGGCCCTCCTGTTCTGAGATTGGGCGTAGGTCTGATTAACCCACACCGTAAAACGATTTTATCAAGCATCAAAAAATGGAGTACTACTATTATCGATTGTTGAAAGGTATCTTGATTATTCACCGATCTCATAGCTCGCATCATATCATCGACAATTAATAATAAGTACACGAACGCATACGATATATAACAGTATGATATCGATCGATCATGATATTATTGACACTGTAAAGTCACCAAACACACGATGACTACGAATCTCGAGTTTGAAGGGAACATGTTAACCTGGAACACATCTCGTGAGCTTCTTCAATGGATCGATCGCGTTCACTGGTGTCTACCATCTCTCCCTCTCTCTCTCTCTTTCTCTTTCTCTCTACCGGCTTTTACAAGCTACCTACGATGAATGACGTGGATTCGTAAGAGAAACGCCATTCGTTGGAATATTTTACTTTTACGTAAGACAAATAATATCCCATCTTTA